ACTGAAATCAGGTGACGGTTGTGGTGGTTAGGCGATTTAGGCCAACATCACCTAGCCTCTGAGAGCTTCTGTTCGAATCTTAACATCGCGCCCAAGTTTAATTGTAACCAATGCCAGTCCTTTGGACTGAACATTTCTCTGCTTCTGAAAATTGATTGTTCATTTGAAAACGCGACTCAATTTACAATCTGGGTGGGCAACACTAACTCTCAGTAAAACAATCCACTCAGCTTGGATCATGTACAGTAAATATGCGCATGCATTACTATTTAATGTCAGTTTACCTTCGTATGATTTGTTTACTTAAACCCTATGAATCTTTATTTCCGAAGATTAAGAACACCAACATAAGGGGGAAAAGATCGGAGTTTTGAACAAAAGAATTACGACAGAGATATGACTCATACTGGTAAAACTCACCTTGGGGACATGTGGATTGAATTCGACAGCCCGATGGATGGCTTCTACCGCACTGAGCTCAGCTGCACTCAGGCCCTTTCGTGACGCTATGTCAGGGGAAAATCTATGCACGGGAAAAAGAGATTTGATAAAAAAATAATAACAAGCGTACTTCACTGTTATGGAGCATTGACCAATCAATCAGCACTTATCTACAACTGCATACTACGCAGGATACGACAAATCAACTCAATTCGAGATGGGATAGTATATGCATATTTGTATTCAGCAGCGGCTTGAGAACAAACTTAGTGCCCACGCAGCAATGGCAATGCTAATGGTAGGATTAGGTACAGTGAAATGAAAATGGTGGAAAACAGGGAACAGGAAGAATAATTTTCTGTCAGTTTCACTTTCATCATCTCTAGCCATCGACAATCCTCATCCCTTGGGCCAACCGAAGCAAGTTCTGGAGCTAACTTCTTTATATCTCTACACCAGGTCATAGTCTGACCGCCAGGACGCTTAGTCCAACCTTATTCCCAAGACACCTAAATCTCTCTGCTACTTCTATCTGATCCCTACAAAGAGCCAGTGCAGACACAGGTTCTCACAAGTCGTATGCAAGTACTTTGCGTTTGGATGACGCACACATAATAGTTGGATACCTCTACTATCAAGCGGTTTAAATCATGCTGGACTGCCCGTGCATTGAGACCCAAAAAGACGATGTCATCGGCAATACTATAAGTCAAAAACCTCTTCCTTCGTAGGAGCTTCACTCCACTGTTTGCAATACCGTACCAAGCATTCCACGGGAAAATTCATGCGGAAAGTCGAAAAGGAATGGAGATATAGAGCAACCTCGCCACACTCCGAGTGAGTCGACAAAGGGTGGTGAAACCTGGTCATAGACCCTAACCCGGCCTGAGTTATGACGACGCNGGTAATTTATTTACCAACAGCGGTTCCATTACGGTCGGAGGCTGCGCGAATGTCTAAGAACACAATGATCTCGTCCTTGGAAAGCATGACGGTGTTCTGTTGACTGTTGCAGGGTTAAGATTTGATTGATGCATCCATGACAGGGCAAACCGAGCCTGCTCCCCACGTGTATTGTACAATGAATGAGAATGACGAACACCAACAATTCTGACGCTACTGGGATTAGGCTTTTTCTCCTGGTACTGGGGGTAAACACTGAATGAACTCTTCTTAGGGGTAGGAAAAACAGTCGATCCCCTGCCCCC